AAGAATGCCCCAAGAACGAATGAATGAATGAATGAAGTGTTGATTGAGGTGCTAAGTGCTGGGTATACAGTAAAAATGTAAGACCCATCCTACTGTCAAAGAGCTTCTATTCTAATGGGGTTGACAGAGCACAGGGTTGGGAGTCCCATGGTGCGGAGGGGCCAACGACCAAGCAGACGGAGGGGCAGCTTTTCCTAATGTCGCTATTCCCAGGCTCTTGGGTTCAGGGTCCTGAGGTGATGGAGGTAGGAGAGTGGCTTGTTCCTGTCTTCTCCTCCAGAGGGCCTTGCTGCTGAATGCAGCCAGGTTGTCTCACCTGCCCGGTGTGGAGCAGTTGGGTAGGGATGGCTGGCCCTTCCTCCGTCCATGTTGCTTCCCTGGGTGGTGATGGTCTGGGAAGGGCTGCCACTCCCAGTCAGTGGTTGGTGATGAGGAGGAGGGTGGGCCTGCTGTCCTCAATGATTTCTGCCCTCAATAGCTGTGGGGGCTGGTGTGGCAGCACATCGAGGGTTTGAGGGGCCTGGGCTCTCCCCATCAGATGTCTCTCCCTCGGGGTGCTAAGCTGCCTCAGCTAAGCTGCCAGCCTGCTCTGGGACTGGCCTTTGGACGTGATTCACCAGGGGTGGCTGGCTCTTTTCAAACCCAGCCTCACTTCCTAGCTCTGTGACCCTGGGCACTGAGCTTCTCTGCCTCAGTTGCCTCATATGTAAAAGGACTGTAAAACAACCTCAGGGTTGTTACAGAATCCAGTGAGATGAGGTTTGTAATATGCAAGTGGTGGATGGCCAAGGAAAAAGGAAAGCGGCCCTTGATCTTAACTCAATTCAGGGAGATGCTCAGTCATTTTTTTGTGTCCTGAATACCGTTGGGTAGTCAGCCTGAATGGACCCTTTCTCAGAAGCAGGTTTGTACATGAACAAAGTAAAATATGTAGAATTACAAGAGAAATCAATTACATTGAAATAATCAAGTTTTTAAAAAAAGCTTCACACACCCAAGGTTATCAGGAGGCCAGGTGGTGCAGGGTTTTTTAAGGGCACTAGGCGGCAGTGTGGTCAGCCTTCTCAGGAGGACTTTGTAGAAGTGACAGATAATTCTAACTTTGGATGATGGAATATGCGTCCTGTCAAAATAGAAAACTGCTGGCCCCCTAAATCCGTCATTCCTCAGATGAAGCAGAGGCCCGGAAAGGTCCAATAGCGTGGCCCAAGATCACAGAATAAGCCCACAGCCTTCTGCCCAGCCCCAGACTAATCTTCCCTGTTACTTCCTTTCATCCCATGTTCTAGGCAGAGTTGTCCCAGAACTAGTCATCCCCTGGCTCTCTGAGGCCTTTGTATGTCCCTCCTCATCTCTGCCTCCCAGAATCCTTAGCTTCTTCCCAGGCTCAACTTGGCTGCCACCTTATCCTCTTTCCTAGTCTCCTTAGTGAAATTATGTTATTTCCCAGTAGAAGGCATGTTGGTTGAGGGCAGACACTTCATTTTTGTCATTATTAGGGGTAGCTAGGTGTTGGAGTAGAGAGTTGGGCTTGGAGTCAGGAAGACCTGAGTCCAAATCCAGCCTCAAACACATCCTAGCTGTGTGACCTTGGGCAAGTCTCTTCATCTCTGCCTACCTTGGTTTCCTCATCTGTAAAATGGGGGTAATGATAGCACCACCCTCTCAGGGCTGTGAGGATCAAAAGAGTTCATATGTGTTAAAATACAAAGCTTAAAGCACTATGGAAATGCTATTGTAGTTGGAATGGACCTAAGAAGCCCCTCTAGTCTAACCTGAAGCCCAGTTCCCTCTGCAGTGTACCAGCTGGGTCAGCCTTCCCTGGTCAAACACCCACCCCATTTTCAGGTAGCACTATTGCTGGGAAACCTCTTTGACCCTCCTACCTATCCCGTCGCTCCTACTTCTGAAATCTGGTGCAAGTCTGATCCTCCTTTGAAATACTGTAAGGCGGTGGGGCAGCTAGGTGGTGCAGTGAATAGAGCACCAGCCCTGGATTCTGGAGGACCTGAGTTCAAATCTGGCCTCAGACATGGAACACTTACTAGCTATGTGACCCTGGGCAAGTCACTTAACCCCATTGCCTAGCCCCCCCCCCAAAATACTGAAGGCTGTGATCAGTCTTCCTACTCACCAGTCAACCTTTACTCTCTCCCCCACCCAATAAAAAAATCATTAGGAAGCCCCTCTTAAGGGGAAGAAAAAGCCTTCAGTGGTCCCTCCCTCTCTGTTAATTAGTATAATAAGCATTTATTAACACCATGTTGTAAATTGGTTGTAATGTGCAATTTGAATGTTGGGTATTTCTATTTCGGAAAAAACCAGGTGTGCTAATGCTTAAACCTTTAGCAGGTTCTTAGTAAAATATTGGTTCTCACACACCTGTGTAGGAAACAAAACTCCTGGTGTGGTTCATGAAAGAGTGAGATGGTGTCTCTGGAGTTATTCTTGTGTTATGAGGCACATGGGCCCTGCTTCACAGCTGCAGTTTCGAAAGTGTATATTTGTCCCGTGGCGGTATCGTTTCTCTTTGAATTTTGGCTCAAAATTGCACTGTCTTCATAATAACTCGATTTTTTTTTCCCTGAAGGGGATGTTGCCAACACAACCCTGGAACTCAGGGTTCAAGATTTCAAACAAACATCGGAAAACCAATAATTATCCCATTTTTGTCATTGTGGGAAATTCAAAGACAAAAGGGATAAGGCTTCTAAGCCCTGGGCAGCCTCAACCTCTCCTATGTTTTGGCAACAGCAATGGAATTTTAAATTCTGGAATTTCAGATGCAACTGAATTTGGGGCAACCATTCCCTGGGCCTCAGGTGGAAATGGCCACTTCTTTTACCATGAAACTACCTTAATTTTAGTTCCTTGTTGATGTTTGTACTCTTTGTTCTTTTTGTTTTTTGCTAGGCAATGAGGTTAAGTGACTTGCCCAGGGTCACACAGCTAATAAATGTCAAGTGTCTGAGGCCGGATTTGAACTCAGGTCCTCCTGATTCCAGGTCCAGTGCTGTATCCCATTGGTGCCACCTAGCTGCCCCTGATGTTTGTACTCTTAAAAATAAAAGTGCCCACGAGGCAGACTATGTTAAAGGTGGTTATTTTCCTTTTGGTCAAAGGTTCTCTAGGGTTACAAAGTATGAATGTAACCTTTTTTGTTGTTGTCTAGTCATTTTTCAGTTGTTTGTGACTCTTTGTGACCCCTTTTGGAGTTTTCTTGGCAAAGATTACTGGAGTGGTTGGCTATTTCCTTCTCCAGCTCATTGTTCTTTTACAGATGAGGAAACTGAGGTAAACAGGGTGAAGTAACTTGGCCAGGGTCACACAGCTAATGTCTGAGGCTAGACTTGTACTCCGGAAGATGAATTTTCCTAAGTCCGGACCCGGCACTCTGTCCCTTGTGCCACCTAGCTGCCCAAGAATAGAACTTATAACCTTAAAATTTGATTTCTTGGAAAAGAAAAATGCAGTTTATTGAATAGCTGTATTTACCCCTTCCTTTGCAAGCTGTTTTAAATACTTACTCAAGGCACATTTGGACCAATAATTCACTTTCCTTACAGTCCTGTTGACTCATTTCTAGACCATAGATTTGCAGATGAGGGAACCCCTGAGGTGCAAGAACACTGATGTGACTTGCCCAGAGGTCACACAGCTCCAGGTCTAGGCAAGGATTTGATGCTAGCTAGCTCTGCACCTGACCGGTGCTCTGTGTACACCACTAAAGATCCTGCCTTCTCATGTTGTTGATCGTGTAGCCGAGTGAAAAGTAGACTTAAATAATCAGCCATCCTGGGACATCCCTCAAGGATCTGTTTGGCCCCCTTCTCTATACTATGATGCTTGGTGGTCTTGTCAGTGCCCAAGGCTTCAATTAGCTTTAAGCAGATGATTCTCTTTATTTAGCCCTAACCTCTCTCTCCAGACCTCTAGATTCACTTTGCCTATTGGCCATCTTGGAAGTCAATTATATGCTCAATAGATCTTTCCCCAAGACTCTCCTCCCCTGTACCCAGATTCCCTCTTACTGTTGAGGCTACCATCCTTAGTCACACCAGGCCCACAGCTATGATGTCATAATCGACATAGCCAATATATTACCAAGTCCTGGCCTTTCTACCTGCACACTTTTCTTCTATGTCCCTATCTGTCCACTCACACAGTTGCTACCCTTAGCATAGTGCCTGGCACATAGTTAAGCTCTTAATGACTGTTGGTTCAGGCCCCTCATCACTTTACGCCTAGGCTAACATTGCCTCCTCATAGATCATGGTCCGTGCTGGTCCATCCCTCCTCCACTCAGCGGCCAAAGTGATCTTGCTAAGAGACTATGCCCTGACCCAAACTTGAACCCCAGTGGCTGCTCTCCACAGAATCACCTCTATGATCAGATGTGAGCGCTGACACTTTATCACCCCTCAGTGTACTCAGATTCAGAAACACGACATTCCCAGCTCCTGAATCTGTGGCCCTTCCTTTCAGTTACTGTTCTCCCCATCCCTTGTCTCTGGGTCCTGTCTTCCTTCAAAACTCAGCTCAAATCTTACCTTTTGTAAAAGGGTTTTCCAAATTTCACCCCACCCTTATTTATCCTGCCCATACTTTGTGTATGTGTGTATGTAATTGTTTGAATGGCATCTCCCGCTATCGAAATGTGAACACCTCAAGTGTCTTTGCCTCACTCTTGCCCTAACAGGTATTAACTAAAAAGGGATTTTTTTTTTCCTTTAAAGAGGCAGCCAGGGCATTAGGAGAGAGTCAGGGTTAAGGAGCTTGTCACCTTATATAGTGGACAGACTTTAAGCAAGCTCCTTAACCCCTCAGTGACCTAGCTAGGGGGAATTCCTTCCCGACAGTTTTCTATACGAGTGAGTTGTGGGTCCAGAAGACAAAGAATCCTTACCAAGGGCACAGTTTTCCTCAAGTGTCAGACTGTGAAAACATGAAGAATAGTTGGGACTGAAACCCAGACTGCTAGGGAAGTATCAGACAGAGAGTGGCATTGCACTTTTTAATTGCAAGGGTAGTTTTAAATAAAATGGAGAAAGCACCTCCCCAAAGCCAAGCTCACATGAAAGAGTTCATATCATGATGCATTTACACAGTAAATTTCTATAACTTCACAAGAGATTTCTTCTAATGTTCACATTATCCGACTGTACACATGGAAAAGCAAACCCTTCCAACAGCTAATTTCTCTGCTTATACAAGCAAACTAAAGGACTTTACTAAATGAAGAGTCAACATGTAGCAAAACAGGAAGGGAAGAAAAAAGCTAAGGAATTGGACCTTAACTTCCTATCTTACTCAGGTGGCAGGATATCAAAAAGACAAGGTGAGTCCAACCTCACTTCCGGCTGCCAAGTGCTGGCTAAGGACAATACTTGAGACGCTCTAGCAAAGCCTGGCCAGTGGACCATAATGCTCCAGAAATCAATTATCCTAGGCAGTGGCCGCCTTCACCACCGCTGAGGCCATGCACTGCCTTCAAACTGTGGGTGTGCTACGATGATCTGGACAAGTGAACAATACTATTTTAGACACTGATCAACTGAGGAAAGAGTTCATTGGCAAAAGTGTCCTCCCAAGGGTGGCCTGTGCCAAGGGGGGAGGACATCGCACTGAAAGGGGAAGGAGAACCCTCGTAGCCAGAGTCGCTACAAGCATCCAGCAGGCAGGGAGAAGACTTGGAGGAGAGCAGGTTCTCGAGACCAAGCTCTGGGATGAAGCCGTCCTCGATGAGTTCTTCTTTCACAGACACGGGGAGCGGCTCGGGTGGGGAGCAGAGGGAGGCTTCCTCAATTTTCACCACCACGCTGCCTTGAGCATCTGCTTCCGAGGGAATCCCCAAGATGAGCGGCTTGGTGTACACGTGGTCAAACCGAATCAGTTCATTAATGGCTTCCAGCTTGGCTGATGGGGGCCCCACCAAAGGAGACGGGGAGGCTGGTAGGGAGTCGGGCTCTTGGGCACCCACCTCTTTGAGCTCCTCCTCCAGGCAGTACTCTGTGCTAACATACTTGAAGAACACGTCTGGGTCCAGGTTGTCCAGAATGCCCAACAAGATATCAGACTGCAAGAGACAACACTGTTAATGGAACGGCTTCTATGGCTGTATAAATTATGAGGAGATTCTGAGGGACAAATCCTTACCTCAGAGTCTGAAGAGTCAACACCGTCAGAATCCACAGGGACGTGTTCGGGAAGGGTGACAGCTGGGCCTGCACCTGCTGCAGAGGTGCACGTAGTCTGAGCGCTGCGGACTCAGCAGACCCGGCCACCGACCGGACATCATTCACCTGGAAGGAGCCACAGAACAACGACTGACATCTGGAATCATGAGAGAAGTGGTCCTTCCCCTGTAGCAGGCAGGAAGCTGGTGGTCAGGGATGGTTTAGACAAGCTGACTCGGCTGAGAGAAGGGCTCTCTTCTTGTGGCCGAGGGGGTAACTAACTTACAGCGCCAGGACAGTGGCAGCAGGCGCTTCCTTGAGGCCCTGAATTTAAACTTGCCCCACCAGACTGCACCTCAGAGCCCGTTCTATTACGCCCAGACCCTTGTTACCTTGGACTCTGTTTCCTCCTCGGTTATTAGGGCATCCATCCCCAAGCGCTGTCTTAACTCTTGATTTTCAATCACAAGTCCATGGGTTCTCTCACGCAAAAGCTGATTTTCAATCAAAAGTTTTTGATTCTGGAAGAGAAATAACTATCTGATTAGAGACTGCCAAAGCACCTGGAACTCCATCCCAGAGAAATTGATATACTTGGGCTCCTAGGGACCTTTTCTTAATTCTTGGGCTTTGGGGTAAATCAATGCCCAAATAATTAAAATTCTGCGTAACTTGTGCAAGAATATTTTTAAAGCCTATTCTTCCTAAAAGCCTTCGGTAGCCACTGATCGACAGCGTAAGGCTCCAAATAGGTGCTACTGAGATAAAAATTCCAAGCCTAAAGGATCTTCAATCTAATTCTAGGTGCTGACCGTCGTAAGTGACACACTTAGGGCCTGGCTTTTGGAGGGGCTGCCTCATATGGCACAGTCACATAGCAAAGAAAACAGAGGCCCTGAACTTCGTCATGTGCAACCTTAGGGAAAGCAGGCATGGATAAACGCAGAACAAGAAGACAATCGATTCTTAGAGTTTAGGAGGTAGGTACACATTCCAGATGGGTCTTTGCCGTCACCTGAAGGCCGACTGCCACCAGAGATGGAGAAGTGAAACATTGGCCAGAGTGCTTCTCACACCAAGGCCTCCTGCTTGGGTCAGCCCGCCAAGGTCCAAGCAGACTTGGCCCTGGAGGCCACTGTACTCCACAGCGCTCACAACCAGGTGTTTCACTTCAGGGCCTGTCCGTGACTCAAAGGAGAAGCATGTGTCACGTCAGTCACCCACAGGGACTGTCCCCACCCCTAAGTCTCAGCTGCCTCCTTCACCCAGAGAGGATGGTGAGCTCCTACTGGTGAGATTTGGTTTGCCCAGTGGAATGTTTGGGTGGACCAAGCCTGGGCTGGCAAGCTCTTTAACAATTTTAGGAAAAGGGCAGAGGTTCAGTTGAACATTTACTCATATCCAGCTAAAGTATCTTCAGTCATCGGCATCATACTCACGTCCCCTGCAGGTTCACAGCACCTGTCAAACAGTCTGACCAACTAAATTCAATGTGTTTCTAGGGGACTGACTCAGGAAGTGGCAACACTGTGTCTGTGCTGGAGGGGGGGGCTGTCCACAGAAGGCCAGAGTGACGGCGGGCCTCACTGCTGTGTCCAGCCTCTCACCTCTTCTTCCAAGTCCACAACTTGCTGCTCCAGTTCGCTCATTCGGGCTTTCTTCCTGTCTCGAGCTGTTTGTGCGGCTACTCTGTTTTTCAATTTCCTGGGAATGGAAAAATGTGTCTTTAACACCCACAGCTCATTCCACTCTCATGGCTCTGAGCAGCAAAGTTATCCTACCAGGTTCCCAAATATCACTTCTGCTTCTTCTTAGAAAAACATCTCCTGCTTTTTGCCCTTATTGTAGTCACAGAGTGTGGCTGCCTGGCAGTCCCTCTTTAGAGTGGATCCCCAGAAGGACATCCTGTGGCATGTGTGGAACCAGAGCTGCAGGAGCACACTTGGCAACTGTTTACCACTCAAAGATGATTTCACAGTCGGCTCCTGGAAGTTTAAAAAAGCGCTACAGTTCCAACTAAATTCAAGTAAATTCCTCAGCGTCCATCCCTGTGCTCATCAACCTATCCAAAGCACCATTTCTGTGTGCCTTCAACTAAGTTTCTCCTATGTTGCATCATTCAGGGCCCATGCTAGACACACATGGACTATTTCTTGCATCAGAAAAAAAATGGCTTCCTGGTTCAGGATTTCATTATCCCCCTGCTGTGAGACACAGTAACCAGAACACTCATAATTCACTTATTTATACAAGGGAAAAATTAGAAACAGCCCAACAACTGGGGCATTGCTAAGCAAACTAACAGCCTATTAACACAATAAAATTATTGCATCCCAGGAATGTGAACTGTGTCAATGTGGCAATGCTTAAGTGAATTAAACAGAAATTCGGAAGCATGAAATGATGTCACAAATTAATTAGAACCATGGTAAAATGCATATATGTGCAAATTAGAGACGAAAAGAGAATTGAGAGGGGCGGAAGGTAGTGTTTTATTGTACATTTGGATGGGAGTGAGGGGAATTAGGAAAAGTGGCTTAGGTTACAAAAACCTTGCAATTATTCACGTGTCAGATGTTACTGGCTGGTACAAAAGGATCATTATAGCCCTCTGCCCCCTCTCCAACCCAAGTGTGGGAATGAGCAGCAGGCACTATTCCCGGATGTGAAGATGTCTAGAGGTCAGGGGCTGTATTTGGCTAAATCTAATTCCCGGGTAAACCGGCGCTTCTAATGACTCAGATGATTCAGTTCCACAAGGCCTCAGGGATGGGCTGTGGAGGGCGTGGGCATACTCCCCAAAGCCTTCCCCTCCTTCCACAGCCTGTAGTCTTTGCTTCAACCGTCGGGTCTCTTACCCAGGTTCTTTGGAAATCCTGTGAGCTTGGCATGGAAAAAACCCCACCTTCTTAGATGTAACAGCCCCTCTCCTACCCTCATTTTAAAGGGATTTCCACCAACATTTTTTTCCGGGCGCCTTACGCCTCCAGCGCCCTAGCACCTTCTCTACTAGGCCCTTAGTGAATGTTTGTCGTTTGACTGAGAGGTAAACTGAGGCTCGGAGGTCTCTGAGCTTTGCCCAGCCGGCTTCCCGAGGGGCTGCTGCCCAGGCTAGGAGCCCAAGCCTTCCTCGACGCCCAGCCCGGGGCGTTCTTGCCACTAATGATGACGATAACGAAAATGATAACTCTCGTTGGTGGAGCACCCCAAAAGTGCGGGTCACTTAGATACCACCTTTCATATGCTCTAGAGTCTAGATCTCGAATCAGAGAGGGCTTCCCGGGAGGGGCGGCACTAGCCTAGACGGACGCCGGGCAGGAAGCGCTTTCTAAGGCGCTTTGGGGGCTGGCACCCACCAAGTGGGCAGCTAACTGGTCCGGCCCCGGAGATGAGGACGTGGCCCGGCTGTGGGGGGGGGGGACGCCTTCCTCCCTTCCCTCCTCCCCCTCCCCCCCCGTGCCGGGCGCCACGCAGGCACGGGTCCCGGGCTCACCTGCGCAGCGCCTTCTCCTCCGGGCTCAGGTGCGTGAGGCGCTGCCGCTTGCGGGCGGGGCTCTGGCCGCAGCCGGAGCCGGGGCTGGGGCCTGGGCCGGGGGCCCCGCTCGTCGCCTCCGGGCTCGGGGGCAGCACGAGGGGCAGGGCGCGGCCGGGCGCGGGGGCGGCCCCGGGCCCGGGGGGCTTTCCGGACGACAGGAGCAGCACTTGGGGCGCGGCCGGGGCCGGGGCCGGGGTCTGGGCCACCACCACCATACCTGCGGACGTTGCGCGCCTGGGACAGTGAGTGCGGACTGGCGGAGCCTCAGGGACGGACGCCCTCGCGCGGCCCCGGCCCCGAAGCGGCCCCTGCCCCGTCACCGCCGCCGCTCCGACTGCCGGGCCGGCCGCGCCCGCCCGCCCGTATAACCGTCGTGGCCGCCGCCCATTGGCCCGAGGCGAGTGACGCACGGCGCAGTGCGCCGCCGATTGGCTCCGCTCGCGCGGGGGCGGGAGGCGGGGGCGAGCGCTGTCAACTGTAGGGAACCGGGCGGCCGCGCGCACGAGGTTGGGGGGCGGGAGGGAGCTCTACCACGTGACAGCCCCTGGCGAGCAGGGAGAGTCAGAGCGGAGAAGGTCTTAGGACACTGTGAAGCTGAGAAGTGACCTTAGGAGTCCCGCTTCGTCATTTTACACCTGGGGAAACTGAGGCCCCAGGAGACCAAGCTTTCTTAGGGAGCAGGAAACAAGACTGAAGGTGTCATCAGAGAGCTAACTAAAGACCTTAGGGTCATTTAGTCCACCCCCTCTCAAGTTACAAATCGGGAAACTGAGACCCAGAGGGGGCATCAATCACAGGATTCAGAACTGGATGGGACCTGGGAGAGCTCCAGCCTGACCCTCTCACTTAACAGAAGGAGGTCCACTGACCTAGGGGCTATTCAGACCCATCGCTACCACCACTCACACCCACACACACAAAGAAAATGATTTCCCTAATGAATAGCCGAAGATGTATGTGTGCAAAATGCCTTAGGCACATCATCTCGTTTGATCCTAGCAACAATCCTCTTGCAGTTCGGCTGTGTGCAGCTCTTCTTAACCCCACTTTAGAGTTTTTTTTGTTTGTTTTTGGCAAAGATTTTGGAGTGGTTGGCCATTTCCTTCTCCAGCTCATTTTACAGATGAGGAAACTGAGGCAGGCAGGGTGAAGAGACTTGCCCAGGGTCACACAGCTAGCAACCCTATGAGATGCAAACTTATAGGTTCTATGACGATTAGGAAGCTGGGGCTCAGAGAGTCAGTCAGTCGATAAACAGCCCAGAGAGAGGATAGGTCAGGGGTGAGCTAGGTGCTTTGCCCAAGGTCATACAGCTGTGAAGTAAGGCATCAAACATTTATTACACACCTATTATGTCCCAGGCACTCCTGATCCCAAATCCATCTTCCTCTGCATCTTGCTTTCATTTTTGAAATGTAAAGTGTCTTCCATCCTCAGTTTGCTCATCTGTAAGATGAGGGGATTGCATTAAATGATCTGCTTAAGGTGCCTTCTGTCTCTAAGTCCTGATCGATGGAGAATTATCGATTCTCAGGGGTAGAAGGGGCCCCAGCACCCGTCTGGTCTAACACAGTTATGAATTACAATCCCTTCTACAATTTCCCCCCAACATGTCCATCCTGATGCTTGAAGACCTCCAGTGATGGTCACAGGGTAGGGACACATGAGTTGTTATCTGCATCAGGGGAGGTCATGGAAATTGGAGGGTCACTCATGTCCTTTTATCTTTAATTTTCTGTTCTTTTCACTCACTTGAGCAAACAGACATCACTTGCAAGTAACAAGAGTAATGATTGCTCCCACTTTTCTAGTGATTTAAGCTTTTCAAATACTTTTGCTCCCAGCAACCCTGTGAGATGGATAAGGGCTTTTAAGTTGAGGAATGTTGGACTTGGAATCCAGAAGACTGGAGTTTAAATTCTGCTTCTAATACTTTGCTTCTCTCAATCTCAGTTTTCTCATCTGTAAAATGGGAATAATGATAGCATTTACCTCGGAGAGTTGTTGTGAGAGTCAAATGAAATACAGTAATATAGGTAAAGTGTTTTGCAAACCTTAAAGTATTCTATTAAAGCTAGCTATATACATTTATTTTACGGCTATGGATTAGATGTCCAGGAAAGCTGAGTGAATAAGGCATGTAAAATTGTAAATAAGGCATGCCTACCTCTTTATCCTTTTATGGGATTGAGAGGTAACCGTCTGACAGCCAGTGGGCACCATTTATATCCCACATAATGTCAAGCATTCTAGAGGAAAGCTCCTGAAACACAGTATGTTTCCGCTGTGGAGGACTGAAGGGAAGGTACAGATGGTCAAGAGATGTGGATGGAGGAGGGTCTGCCTGCATTGCTGGGAAGAGGAAGATCCCTGACACATAGTAGGTCTCCCTGGAGGAAGGTCAAAGGGAAGACACAGATGGCCAGGAGTAACCCAGGATAGGGAGCTGTGTTTCGGTGAGAAGGTCCATCTGCATTGCTGGAAGGGGCACGGAATCATCACACTTTCTACCTATGGGACCCTGGGCACATCACCTCCCCTGCCTTAGTCCAGTATTTGTTACAGCCTCTAATTCCCGGGATGTTTAAAGGGACAGTGCCTCATTTCCCACCTTCCTTTGTTTTCTGCCTCCCTCCCCAACTTGATAATGTTGCAGTCTTTCCCCAGCTAACTTTCTTATCACCCTCTAAGTGGAACAGGTTTTCCACTTGTTTGGAACAGATCCTGTGGCTACTGGCTCCCCTGGACCCAGCTTCCAGAAAAAGGGAATGAGGTTTCCAAAAGCACTGGAATTTTATACATCCCCTTCGTCTGGAGGGAACCCCACCAATCCAAATCCCACAGTGTTATAATGACAGGAGGGAATGGGGACTGAGGCCACTTGGGTTCCAGGGTCTCTTCCCTTTGACCTCAAAACTGCTGAACTTCAATTTTTTTTTCTAGGAGAGCAGCAAAGAAGGGGGTTGTGGGAGATGGGTTGGGTGTGCCTAGCCACTCAATATTCCCTCTTGTTCCTAAGCATAAGACAGACACAGAGCATGGAAGAGGGTATTCCTGGAGGTGGCTTTAGGTGGGTTTGGGGAAGGGAGTGGGGTATTGAGGTGACAATTCAGAACAAGACAGACTAAAGTAGTCAACACCAATCCCCCATACCTAGAGACAAGGCTAGTGGAGGGAGCGTTCCCCTCAGGCTGTCAGGCATCAGTGCTTGGCTCCTTCTCCCCTTCCACGGCCCTCCCACTCCCCAGCCCTGAGAAGTGCTTTGGGACAGGAATAGATATTTCTAGATTCTCCCCCTCCCCAAAAATGGGGACTTTGGACTAGATGGTCTCAGGTCTCTTGAGCCCTAGCTCTGTGATGCCTTGTGTGTTTGAGGCCACTGGCTAGCCAAGAGCCGGACAGAGTGGCACAGGGTAGAGACAAGTCACTGCTTAATTTGGACAGGGCCTCCTGCCACTTCTTTGGTGCTTTTCATCCAGGCACAAGGTGCTCTTGCAGGCTGAAGTCAGTCATTGGTGATGGGCATCTCCATATGGTGAGGACCCAGGCTCCCCGGGTGGAGCCAGCTGCTGAGAAACCTGCTCATTCCTCCTGACTTCCAAATGCTAAGAATCTTAAAGCTGTGCCCTTCCGTAGCCTCCTGCACAACATCAGAGAGGCCCCTGGCATGTCAGTGCCTCTAGCAGAGTAAGGATTTAGTGCCCATTTGTTGACCCACAGACTATCCCAGTAGGACCTCCATCTTCAGCTCTGTCAGAGGATATCTAGAGGAAAAAGGGGGCTCTGTCTTTGGGTCGTGACATAATTTTGTTCAATTAATATCCTTCTAGGCATAGGTTTTAGACAGCTAGGTGGTGCAGTGGATAGAGGGCCAGGTCTGCAGTCGGGAAAACCTGAGTTCAAATCCAATCTCAGACACTTACTAGCTGTGTGACCCTGGGCCTCAGTTTCCTTGTCTATAAAATGAGCTAGAGAAGGAAATGGCAAACCACTCCAGGGTGTCTGGCCAGAAAATCCCAAATGGGGTCAGGAAGAGTCAGACATGACTGGAAAACAACATAAACTCTATAGTTTATGCTCTGGAAAGGGGAGCTTAGAATTCCCTTAGTCTAGCCCCTCTATTCCCCACTTTGCAGAGGAGCACATTCATTCCCAGAAACATCTGTTAAGCATCTCCAATAGCTAAGGAACTGTGCTAGCCACTAGAAAGTGGACAATTCAAATTCCTAGGTCTGAATCTTGGGTCTGTTATTTAACTACCTGTGTGACCCAGGTGATCCAGTCACCTAACCTCTCTGGGCCTCAATTTTGAAGTGAAAAGGTTGAGATAGGTTGCCCTCTGAAGTCCCTTCCAGCCCTAAATCTAGAAACCTGTGATACTGGTGGTTTTACCCAAGTAGGAGACTTCTGGTGTGGAAACTCCCTCCACCAATGCAGATTAGCTATTACCTAGAGACACAGGGAGCTTCCAGGGGTGCTGGGAAGTTTAAGCTGCCCCTACAATAGTATAGTCAAAACCTGGGCCTGAACACTGTTCTTCCAACATCAATTCTTTCTCCTTTCCAAGAGAATAATAGGTAGCCAGGAAATCCAAAAAAGAAGCAAAGGAGTGAGGGCATAAGAAGGAAAGAGGTGAAGGGGGAATTCTGCAACTGGGCAGGGTTGGGGGTGAGGCACGCCTCCCCATGAAGGGACCATGGCAAGTGAGAGGAGCGAAAGGACCAGGGATTCTGCCTCTGGGACCAGGTACTGGAGGAAGGGGGAAGGTCCACAGGAGAATCCTTTCTCCTCGTGCTTTAGACTTTCCTTACTGTTCAGACAAAACAATTTTTGTCCCATTCACAAGGTATAATTTGATGGTGCTTTTCTTGCCCTTCTGAAAGGGCACTTCCCTCCCCAACCTCGAGCAGTTTCAGATCCTCTTCCAGAGGCCAGGAGGCCATTAGAGGGGCCCCAGATAATTCTTGCATCAGATGGTGATTTAAAAAAAAAAAAAAAGACTTCGTACCCAGGATAAGGAATTGTTCACGTACAACTCGGGGCTCTAGTTTCAACCCTGCACAGTTTCAAAAGAAAGCCTTGGTTTCCTTAAGTAAATGTGCTGGGAAGGAGAAATCATTTGACTAAGTTATCAGCGGACACAAATACACATAAGCAACGGTAATGTTACCCCTTAGATACGAGCAATGGAAACTCGCTCTTTTTTTCAGACTAGAAAAAGTACAGATAATTCAGGACTTTGGCATGAGAGGAAGAAATGAAATATTAACGGCAGAACTTCCTGCTCCACAGTCAGCAAGCATTTCTGAAGTGCCTACTATGTACCAGGTACTATGCTAAATT